TCTCACTATGCAGCTCAGACTCGCAGTGATCCTTCTGATTTCTGACTCCCTAGTGCTGGGATTATAGGCATGCGCCACCATGCCTGGACTCCAATGCCAGCTCAGTGCACCCAAAGGTGGGGCCAGCCTGGCATGCTGTGCCAGGGATCAAACCCTGGCCCCTGTGCTTACCTAAATAAGCACTTAGTCCACTGAGCTATACCACTGGCCCAAAAAACAAAATTTCAAAACAAGATAATAGGAGGGTAACAATGGCTAATACATTACATATTGTCATCTTTAAATTAGATATTAAGAGTAAGATGTTGGCATTTAATTGTCCAAACAATATTATTCAATGAACTAAAAGAAATTAATAGTAGAATCTTAACTTTTTCCTTCCTGCTTTTCTTCATTCCCCAGCCTAGTTTCTCTTTCCTTTTGAACATTTTCTCCCATTTCACAAGATCTATTGTATATTTTTGGATTATTCTTTCATCTTGTCACACTAGGGAGAGCGTACAATGTTTACTCATGTATGTCTGGTTTATTTCACATATGAAAAGAGTCTCAAAGGGAGCTGGGGAGATGGCTCAGTGGAATAAGTGCTTCCCTGGCAAGCACAGAGGCCTGAGTTCAACCCCTGGTTCTGCAAAAAAAAAAAAAAAAAAAGGCCTCAAGTTGTATCCATTTACCTACAAAAGTCTCCAGTTCGTTCTTTTTCATGGCTGAATAATACTTTATTGTATAGAAAGACCACAACATTTTTATCCATTCCTCAGTTGATGGGCATTTGGGTTTTTCCAAGATCTAACTATTACAAATACTGCTGCTATAAATAGGGGTGCACATATATTGCTGTGGTATGTTTTTAATTCTTCTGGGAGTATACCTGGTGGGGGAATAGCTGGGTCAGTGGGACCTTCAGTCTTAGTTTTTGAGGAGTTTCCACACTCATTTCCACAGTGGTTGCCCCAGTCTACATTCCCACCAAGAGTGGAGAAGGGTTCCTTTTTCCCCATAGCCTCTCCAGCATTTGTGATTAATTGATTTCTTTATGACAGCCATTCTTTCTGGGGTGAGATGGAATCTCAATATTGTTTTAATTTGCATCTTTCAACTGACCAATGGTGTTGAACATTTTTCATATATAGTTACTATCTGTATTTCTTTTTTTTAAAAAAAAATGTATTTAGTACAAGGTCTACAGGGTCTCACTACACAGATCTGACTCATAGTGATCCTCCTGTTTTCAGCCTCCCATGAGCTGGGATTACAGGTGCACACCACCTTGCCCAGTCTCAGTCACCCTCTCAGCACATCCTGGGCCAACATGGCATGTGGAGATCGAACCCCGGTGCCTGTGCCTGCCTATGCACGTGCTTTAGTCTGCTGAGCTATCTGGCCAGCCCTTGCTATTTGTATTTCTTTATCTGAGAGTGTATATTCATCTCATTTTGCCCATTTTTGGATTGGGCTTTTAAATTTGGGAGATCTGATTCTTTTGAGTTCTTTATATGTTCTCAATAGTAATCCTTTGTCTGAGGAAAAACTAGCAAACATTTTTTTCCCACTATATGGGCTTTTCAATCAGTAAAGAAATCCCACATTTCTTCAAAAATAGATTAGTCAAATCATGCTGTAACAGATCATTGCAGCAATAATTCAGTAGGGTATAAAGCTCCTAAATGTGATGCTGAGAGTGTATAAAACATAAACACAGTGCAAGTAAGTCAGTGGTGACTGTGCTGAGGAGGCCAAGCTCATAGGAAGCTCCTAGCAGTACGGAATATACTACAACTAACTCTGCTTCCAAGTAAAAAATCCATTCATTCATTCATTCATTCATTCATTCATTTATTCAATCAATCATGTATACAAAGCACACTGAGCAAAGAGGAATTTATACTCAGACCTGACCATGTCAGAATGAACAAGACAAATGAGACCCCTACCCCTTAGATAGCACAGGGTCTTGTGGAAGAAGTTGATAGTTAAGCAATGTGTTTATCATTTTCAAAAATAACTTTAAAAAGAAAAAACAGTTCTCTGTTCAAAATTCAAAGAGTATAGAAAAATGAACTATGAGATTGCTTTATCTTAAACCTGAGCTCCAAATGCCCCAGTTCCCCTCTTGGGTGTTCAATATTTATAGTTTCTGAAGAAATGTCTGCAGTTTGATTCATGTGATAATTGGAAAAGCATAGGCTGGCCATGACACATACCGTGGGGGTGCTAAGCCAGTCAGGGAATAAATAAGTAAACAATGATCAACAAAATGGTTCCCTAAGCCCCCAGTTCTAAGGAAAGAGAAAAGGAGAAAGAGACAGCCAAAGGAGCAAGAGCCACCAGCCATGCGTAGTCAGTGTCCTTTGCCCTTACACAGCTGCCAGATAGCTAAAGCCTACCTCAATCCTCAGGTAACTCTGTCCTTTGCCAGCCATTATTCCATACATCACCAACAGGTCAAGACAACATTCCTGAGGTGTGTCCTGTGCTTAGCATCAGACTTGTACGCCCAGAGTGTTCTGCCCAAATCTACAGATACATGAATGCATATCCAATGTTACCCACCTGATTCTTGGTGCTGAGAGAAAGAGACATTTAAAACATGAGTCAGGGGCCGGGAAGACGGCTCAGTAGAATAAGCGCTTGTCTGGCAAGCTCAAGGGTCCTGAGTTCAATCCCTACTTCCAAAAAAAAGAAAAAAAAATTGAGTTAATGAGACTGGGCGTGGTGGCGTGTGCCTGTAGTCTCAGCTCCTGGGAGGCTATAAACAGGCAGATCTCTACAAGTCCAATCTAGTAGTAAGACCCTGAACACCCTGTAGACCCTTCCCTAAAGAACACAAAAATAAATAAATAAAACATGAGTCAAGAGCTGGCTCAATTGAAGAGGAACTGGAAGAACTTTTTTCCTCTCTCCAAGTGGTATTTTATTTTTTATTTTATTTATTTATTTATTTGGTTGTTGTTGATACAGGGTTTTGCTACACAGCTGCTCAGACTCATGGTAATCCTCCTGTCTCAGCCTCCCCAGTGCTTGGATTATATTAGGATTCTGGGGTCGGCATGGCATGCGGTACCAGGGATCGAACTCGGGACCTTGGGTTTGCCAGCAGGCACTTAGACCGTCAAGCTATCTCCCCAGCCCAGTATGAAATTGTCTGTGCTGTCCATCACAAGGAAGAGAGTAGGGTAGTAAGAAATCATAGGTCTACACTGTGTCAGACAAACATAATTTCCTTTTTTTTTTTTTTTTTTGAAGTTGAGTAATTATGAATAACTTTCCCACAGACACCCAACCAAGGGACCTGGGATTTGAACTTCTGCCTGGCTTGAAGTTCTTTCCCTTCCTCCACCTTTTCTCACATTAGCCACGCACTTGAATGCAACCATTCCTGTGAGGCCCTGCCAAGGCCCAAACTCTACCCTTACTAAATGCCCCGAACTCCCAGTGAGATGTCATTTTCTCCTTCAGGGTATGGTACTACAGGCACACTACCTTAAGCCTGTGAGATTTTTAAGGAACAAAATAATATATTAAAAGCCCTTGGAAGATTTATTTGCTCCATTTTTTGGAAAGTGAATTGCAACATTAAAATGAATAATGAATAAAATAGCTACACTGAGATACGTATCTTCTAGCCAACTGGAATTGAATTAAACACTTACACAGTTTTAGGTATGAATAAAGATTTTCAAGAACTTAGTAAGTCATTTCTTTTCTTAACGTAGCTCACAATTGTAATAATCCTTTCTTTTTTCTAACAACAAGAAATGTGTTTTTCTGGGGTTTTTTTGTTTTGTTTTGTTTTTTTAAGATAGGGTCTTGCTATGTAGCTCAGGCTTGAACTCACTATGTAGCCCAGGTTGGCCTCAAGCTTGCAATACTCCTACCTCAGCCTCCTGAGTTCTGGGATGACAGACATATGCCACCATGCGTGGCTTAGAAGTATATAAATTTCTGGAAATGTATTTCATTGTGTTTGATAGGATCACACAAGGTGTTTGGAAGGTCCTGGGATGGCATGAGAAAGGACAAGGATAAGGGACAAGTATGCATGGTAGAAACCTCCTGTCCTTAGCTCCCAGCTGATCTAAGATTATGGCCACAGCAGCTACATCCTGCAGCAGCCAGCCTTGCTCAAGCAGTAGGGGCCTCTCTGGACTTCCATAACCCTAGTTTAAACAAAGGCCTGGGGGATGCCTACCCAGTAGGCTGAGCCACCAGAGCTCTGGGGATCAGGGAAAACAAAGGGAGAGGGAAAGCAGAGTGCTGACAGGGCCATTGGCCACCAGCCTTAGGGCTATAAAGAGGCAGGTCACAGAGGAAGTGGCACCAGATGGAGACCCAGACTGTGCAGCGGGAGCTGGGTGAGTAAGACTCTACAGGTGCCCTGACCTTTGCCCCTACTCTCCTTCCCTTGAAGTGACACACGCAGGAGGAGGCTCACTTTTCCTGCTTAGAAGTCAAAGACTATGAGGGTAGCTGGAAAAGAATGGGGAAGCTCTGGGGAAAGGCAGCCTACTCTTCCACCCATATGGCTGATGAGAAGAGCACGAAGTGAGTAGGCTTGTAGGTTCAGGGAGAAAGTACTTCACCCGGGAGCAGGAAGATGATGCTTATTCAGAGATTCAAAATAGAAAAAAAATGACTTTACATGTATTAGATCCTGGGCCTGACAGTGGTCAGATGGAGGAGGTAGTTTTACCTCCTAGGAATGTTTATCCTGAATCAAGAAACCTGATGTATAATTGTCTCTTCACTTTCTTTCTCTTCTCCATTTTCCCTTTCCCCTTCCTCCTACCATTACTCATCCTCCCAACTTTGCTGCCTACATAACCTCTATGATTCTCAGTGTCCTCATCTATGAGGTAGGAATACTAAGCATCTGCTTTGGCAAGCGCAGGGACCAGGGTTCGATCTCAGGTCCTGCACGCTGCGTTGGCCTTGCTCCCAGAATGCGCTGAGCTGGCGACCAAGTCTAGGCATAGTGGGCACACGCCTGTAGTCCCTGCACTGGGGAGGCTGAAAATAGGAAGATCACTCTGAATCTGAGCTGTGTAGTGAGACTCTGTACCAAATGCATAAATGAAAAAAAAAAAGTAGAAATAATGGTAGTACTTATTTGATAGGTTTGTTGCGAAGATTAAATGTATGCAAAGCACTTAGGACAGAGGCTGACACAGAGTGAGCCAGTGTTAAGTGTTATCATTATACTCTTTTTCTTCTTCATCTTCCTTTAATAAGTTTTTTCAGTGTTCCTCCTTTCCCATCCCAACATGAGCTCGGTATGGTGTTCTATCAAAGACTCAGTAGTTGGCAGCCCTGCCACCGACATGGTCTCCAAAGATGTACTCAGTAGCAACACAGATCAGCACTATATTGTACACTAGAAATCAAGGAAAAAGCAAATGGTTTCAGGGTGGAGAAAGCAGGAAAGTCTCTGAGATGACAAGGCCAAGATGAGGCAGGTCTGGGAGACAGAAAAACAGAGAGGAAATACGGTAGTCTGGGCACACACTATAGCAGGCTAGTGTGAGAGCTGCGAGAAGACAGGAAGAGTGACACTGTGTAGGGTCAGCACTGAAGCTTGAGTATGGGGTGTGTGGTGTGGATCTTGGCACTACGGCCATGTTGGCCATATGACAGGGTCTAGATTAGGCAGCTGCCTAGAAATTTATAACATCTGAGATGAAGCAATTTCATCATAAGAGGCAAGCAAGAAAACAGAAGCTACATTTACCAAGAGGTCACAATGCCTGTACAGTGCCTTACCTATATTGTTCCTAATCCTTATAAGAACTGCACACCAAAGCTTTACTAATGGAAAACCTAAGTTTCAGGTGGTTAGCAGCTGAGCTAGGCTTCCAAAGTGTCTCAGACTTCAAGCCTTTTCCCCTCTCCTTGTGCTCTCTCACCTCACCGCATCAGAAGCCATGCCACTAGTGTGTGTTCTATTTTCCAGAAACCCTTCCAACCACCAAGATGGCTCAGACCAACCCTATGCCTGGGTCCTTGGGGCCATGGAAGGTAAGCCCACTCCATCACATGGAAAATCAAAGGCCTCAATAGGACAGGGGTGAGGTGTGGCCACAGAGCAGCCACCAGGATGTACTTGTTCACAAAACAGTGACTGATTGACAAAACATCAGTCTTCAGAGAAAGGATTCACTCAACATTCAGACATTGTTGAAGGGAGGATTACTCAGGATGCCTTGTTTAGACAGAGAAAGAATGGGTGGTGGGAAATGATACCTAGTTCCTAGGTCAACACTCCTTTATATTGTTAAAATATAGCATCTTGAGAAAAGTATGCTCATAGAGAAAATGAAGGCATATAGACAAAGATTTGCACATACCATGTAAGTCATGGCATGATAGGTTCACACTTAGCCTGACTTTGGGTTTAACTATGAGCTTAAATAGCTGACCCTCTGGCCAATCTCTGCTTCCCCAAAGGGGCCCATCATTCTCACTAATCAACTCTGAAGCCAGTTCACAGCTTTGGGGGTGGCCCAAGAGCCAAGTTCTAGTTAAAGGGACTACAACCCTCTCTTTACACTGTAGGTATTTATGAGTGTGACTAGAATAGCAAAGAAATAATCCACAAGGAGCTTCTGGGAGTCTCAGAAGTCACACTTATGCAGGAAGCTTAGTCTAATGAGAGCCCCTAAGTCTCTGGTTTGTCCAGTGGCCAAACCATCACAGATAATTGGCAGATAATTCCTACTAAAAAACAATCTTTGCCAGACACGGTGATGCACACCTGAAGGACAGCTGTGAGTTTGAGACCACCCTGGGTTACAAAGTGAGCTCAAAGCCAGCCTGAAATGCAGAGACCCTGTCTCAAAAAGACAAAAACAAAACAAAAAATAATTCCCTCATGTCTGACCCCTGGCCTAAGCATATGACATCAACCGGTGGCATTAATTCAAATTTCTTACCCTGTCTACACTGAGACATCTCTTCAGGCATCCTGGGCTGTACCAGGTAAGGGAAAACAGGGTAGACACGATTTAAGTGTTAAGCTAGACTTATGTTCTTGTTGTACCAGCTTCTAGCTTTCTTGTTGCTTTTAATTCCATTTTAGATAACTATCTATGACCAGGAGAACTTCCAGGGCAAGAGGATGGAGTTTACCAGCTCCTGTCCAAACGTCTCCGAGCGCAGTTTTGATAATGTCCGGTCCCTCAAGGTGGAATGTGGCGCGTGAGTATGGACTTCTGCAGAACTGCAGGCTCTTTATTTCAGGTCCCTTCAGACACAGGACAATATGAATAGAGACAGGGGAAGAAATATGTTCCCCAGATACTAAATAAGTATTGGAGGCCTTTGTCATGGAGTAATTTCAACAGAAATTACTACATGTGATTTAGTAACCAAAGGTAGGACCATCATGTTTCAGTTGCCTAGTGTACCAGATATTTTTTTTTTTAATTTTTTTGGGGAGAAGAGGAATTAAAGAAATCTGTATGATGCACTAGGGCAGTGATCCCATCAGATCTGTGCTGTTATCTAGGATTTCTTCAGAACAGCTATAGCACCCTCTTTTTCTCTTACAGAAAAGGAGAGGAGACTGTCAGGTAGCTACTTTTTCTAGCCGACTCTCTTCTGAATGCCCCAGAACAGATGCTGTTAATTTCTGCATATAAAAAATTTAACCCTAAGACTCCAGGGACATAATAGTTTAAAACTCTTCTAAGTTTCTTCTTGATGGCAAATTTTGACAAAGGAGATCCTTTCACCTTTGTCTTACAGTTTTTGGCAGATTGGGCCAGGCATTTATCAAAAAGCAGAAACATAAAAAGTGAAGTAGGCAAAAGTGGTGTTACATGTGGCCAGGCTTCCACAAGTTGCTTGCCACAAAAATGGAACTCTTCAGGCCTTTTAAAACAGGAAACATTTTCATTATCACCAGTAATTAAGACCTAACTGTGAAAAATGAAGCTAGTATATTTCAACAAATAAGGGTCTACGGAGGAGGCAGCAGCAGAATTCATACAGAGACAAGGAAAAAAGTCACTCATTAGCTGTTTATTCATTCTTTTGCTTTTTAAGGACGATGTCTGTAGATCTGGCAGAAGTAAAAGCAATTCAGTCACTAGATCATGAATTTGGAGCTCCAGATAAAGAGAATAGGGGACCTGGAGGGAAATAGTTTTGGGCCAGTGAAGTACACATCTTCATGGGACAATCCCAAAACAAATAATTTACAAAAATGCTTAGTGTAACTGACTGCCCATTTCCCACCTCTTGTGAAACATTTATTATTTTGTATAGCTGTATTGGGATTGGTCTAACGTTTTACTGACTATAAACTAACTTAAAATGAATGTCACCTTCTCCCTGAGGGCATATAGACTTTGAATAGCATGAACAAACCCACTACTTATCTTTGGCAGCTGGATTGGCTATGAGCATACCAGCTTCTGTGGGCAGCAGTTTATACTGGAGAGAGGAGAATACCCTCGCTGGGATGCCTGGAGTGGGAGCAATGCTTATCACATCGAGCGTCTCATGTCCTTCCGCCCCATCTGTTCAGCTGTGAGTCTCTGAAATTTCCACTTCTGTGCAAGGGCATGGGGAAAGAGGGGGTGCAGACTGAAAAACTGACTTCTCTTTGGTTATGCTGAATGTGGCAGGAAGGATAAAAGTAAAAGAAAAAGATAACTTCTTTTCTCAAAGTTGATCATTTGATTTTATCAGATGGTTATTTTCCTGAAGCAAAATGTAAGGGTTTTCTTACAGGTGGCAGGAAGCACACATTACAGAATTAGTGAAAGCACTTCACATAGTTTTTTTGTTGTTTTTGGTATTGGGGATTGAACTCAGGATCTTGCACTTGCCAGGCAGGCACTTATCCCGGTGCTATATCCCCAGCGCTTCTAGTTTCATAAAAAGTAAATCTGTGACCAACTGAATAACAACCTGTTAACATTTTTACTGCAGAAACAAGGAAGTGCTTAACCTTTCAATAAAGGAGAATGAGTAAAAAAATAGGAATGTCTTCAAGTATCTCCAATCTACATCAACACCAAGTGTAATAGGCTAGTCTTCGAACAATTTACACAGAAGTAGGAAGATTTTCAGACATATGTTGAAAATGATTCCTATCATGTGACTTAATTCCTATCATGTGACTTTTTCCTCATGGTTTTTATGACTTCACCTCAGCTAAACTTTCAAAAATGAGGGCTGGTGAGATGGCTCAGTGGTTTAAAGCACCTACTTAGAACAAGCTTAGCAAAGCACAGGGACCACGGTTCAATCCCTCAGCACCACATGCCAGCCAGCCCCGCCCCTGGTGGGCTGAGCTGGCCACACACACAC